ATTAAGATATTATCCATTTTCAGATCATTAACAAGGCAGCTCTTAGAGTGAATGTAGTAGAGACCTTGAGCAATGTCATTAGCGTATTTGATTGCTGATATTTCATTCAGTCTTTTGTTTTAGTTCCTTTCTAAAATCTAGGTGAGAGTTCCTTATTATTTATAGCATTTAATTTTGCATTAAAGACTTTCAATAAAGCGGTTTGATTAATTAATTTAAAAAAGAAATGAGTATTATTTGTACCTTAACACTCAGTTAGAACTAAGTAACTAAATTGTTATCCCTCAAATTAATCTATAAGACTGACTACATAAGGAGAGTCTCTACATTTTTTGAGAATTTCTACTTCTTGTTTCACTCGATTGTTAAGATCTTCGTCAAGATTACCTTGAGGATCTCTAACTTAAACACCTTTGATGGCATACCTCATGTTAGTTTTCGAATCTTTTGCTAACAAAACTAATCCCTATACTCCCTGTCCTAAAAATCTAAAATCAGAGTAGCCTTTTTTACTTAATTCGCTTTTCATAGTCTAATAAATTAAAGCTTAATAAGGCTTTAACTTAGGTTCTTAGATATCAGAAACTTTTGTTAAAATTCAGATAAAATTTGATAAGAACAAAGACATGCAGGAAAATTATTAAATGGATGGTTTGGTTATATTTTTAGAGATTAAAAATTTATTAATATCTTTATGCAAGTTTTATTTAATATTTCAATATTTATAATAATAATCAACCTATTAATAAAAAAATGAATATTAATTTAAATATTTTTTACTGATTAACTCAGGCTTATCGAGCATTTAGACACCTTTCATTCTGTACAACTCTTTGATTTTTTTCCTTTTTTGAAGATGCAAAGCAAGCTTATATTTAGCTTCTTAGTATCCTACAAGATTTTAGCTGATTTTATTCATTTTTTAATATCTCAATATTTTTTTTTTCTAACAAATTAATTGAATTAATTAATTATATGCTAATAAGCAAAATTCTTTTAGTTTTTAAATGTTTATTTTTTGTTAAAATCTGATTTAAATTAATTAAATTATTTGTAAAAAGAATATTTGACAAATCGAAATATTCTTTCATAAAAATTGTAATAATACGCATTAACTATTAAATCATTTATAAATAAGATTTAAATATCCCAACTTGTCATCATCTCAATCACGAAATTAAGCAAAATAACATAATTTGACAAATCAAAATATTCTTTCATAAAAATTGTAATAATACGCATTAACTATTAGATTATTTGTAAATAAGATTTAAATATCTCAACTTGCTGTCACCTGAATCACGAAATTATGCAAAATGACATAATGAATAAAAGTAGCAGAGTGATGCGCATAAAATAAAACAAGAAAGAAAACAAAATAATAATAAATTCATAGCTTTAGTAATTAATACATAAAAGTAAAAAGCTTAGAACTTAAATTGTTAGTCATTATTGAAGTAATTAACTATAAAATCAGTTTTATATTTTAAACTTAATAATATTTATCATTCATTAAAATTTATTAATGCCTTCATAATCGTAAAAATATGAATAAATGGCACAATAATTTAAAAGAGCAAAACTAACATATAACTTATAACATAGATAACTAAGTAAATGAAGCTTAGATGTAAAACTTTTAGCAAATTTTGTTGTAAAAACAATAATTTGTAAGACTATAAACAGATATTAACATTTTCACACCTAATTTCTAGACTAGAGCTTATTAAAAGATCCTTTTCTTTAATAAATAAAATTTAAAAATATTCAAGCATTATATTATTTTCAAATATTAAGAGCCAGTCAAAAAGCACAAATATAGGTATTTTCAATTAAAAATTACACTTTTCAACATTAAAATTTCATGTTCTTTGATAATAAACGATATATAGAAAAAAGTGCCTTCTGTCTCCGGAAAAAAAAAAAATATTTTATTTTTCCAGCCCGGCCCCAATTTTAAATTTATATTATTAGCCAGATAAATAACTTAAATTAAAAAACAATTATATTTAAATTGTTTTTAATTTTATTTTTGATTTGAATAATTTATTTATTTTTTTCATGTTAAAAAAAAAGAAATTAAAAGTTGAAGCTACAATCAATATAAAAAACATAAAAATATATTTCACAAATTTATATTATTTTTAATATTTATTAAGAGTAATTCAAGTTATTATTTTACTAATAATAAACAAGCAAACAAACAAAAAAAAGAGTGCATTTCTGATTTCGTTAACTGTGTTGCCTGAATCTAACAAATATATTGTGGCTCATCACTATATTTATGATTTTTTAAATTAAATGAAAATTATAAATTAATTTATTTATTTGTAAAAAGATTAATTACCTTCTAATATTTTTATAAACGTTTATTAAATCTTTCTTTTTGTAATAAAAACTTCTAATATGTTATATTATTACCCTATTTATTTTATTCTAAGGTTTAGTAAAAAAGCTTAATTATAATTTACTTTCTTTATAATAAGTAAATAGTAGATATTCCTATATATGTTGGTTTCTTAATAGGATTAATTATTACCAACTGTTTTAATTAAAACATTTCTTGATTGTATTTCATCCAAATTTATTTAAAATATTACAATCTATTATTATTTTTAATTTTTTTTTATTATTCTTTTTCAATCACTCAAATACTTTACAATCTAGTTTGGAATTAACATAGTTGATTAATTACATTTTTTCATTACTTTCATAACTCTTACTCACTATTTTCATATTAAAAGTAACACTTACTCTACATTAATAGCTTTCAAAAATATTACTATCTATTTCATACATTTTAATAAGTTTCGCTATCAAAAATATTCTTCTAAAATAAATATTACTCGCTGTAAATTCAAAATTAAACTTATTTTCCATCATTCTTATTTATCTTCTACTAATAATTACCATCTGTTTTTCAAAATTTCATTTAATTCTCTAATTTCTTATTATGAACTCTTATTAATAAATTTTACTCACTATTTTATATTTAGATTTTATTTTCTCATCAAAAATCATTCTAAAATATTAATTACTAGCTATTTTGAATATAAAAGTTAATTCAGCATTTATTTTCTCATCAAAAATCATTCTAAAATATTAATTACTTCCTATTTTGAATATGAAAGTTAATTCAGCATTTATTTTTTCATCAAAAATCATTCTAAAATATTAATTACTAGCTATTTTGAATATGAAAGTTAGTTATTCAGCATTTATTTTCACATCAAAAATCATTCTAAAATATTAATTACATGCTATTTTGAATATGAAAGTTAGTTAATTCTGCATTTATTTTCTTATCAAAAATCATTCTAAAATATTAATTACATGCTATTTTGAATATGAAAATTTTATTTTCTCATCAAAAATCATTCTAAAATATTAATTACCCACTATTTTGAATATGAAAGTTAATTCAGCATTTATTTTCTCATCAAAAATCATTCTAAAATATTAATTACCCACTATTTTGAATATGAAAGTTAGTTAATTATTTATTTTCTCATTAAAAATCATTCTAAAATATTAATTACATGCTATTTTGAATATGAAAATTTTATTTTCTCATCAAAAATCATCCTAAAATATTAATTACCCACTATTTTGAATATGAAAGTTAGTTAATTCCA